TTTTTCTCTTCATTTTTTCCCCTTTTTTCTTTTCATGTTCCGGCTCTGGGGCTCCCACGGCGGACAGGCCCCCTCTCCGCACGGAGCCGTCGTGCGGGTCTTAGCGAGCCAGGCCTCGCAGATCAAAGGGATCTCAGCGTTCTCCGCATGGGGGGAGAGGGAGGGGAAAAATGAAGAAAAAAAAAAAAAAAAAAAGAAAAAGAAAGAAAGGTTTCCTTCTTTAACGATTGTTCGTAGAAGCTTTGGAAGCAGGGACCGTCCTGCCTCCTCCCTCGCTTGGGCTGCAGGGAAGCGCTTTGGGAAAGGTAGGGAGAGGGAAGAAGAGAAAAAAAAAGATAGGTTTCTTGAAGTTTAAGAGCTGCGTGTACAGGGGAGTCCCGGGCTGCTCCCTGCTCAGCGACGAGCCCCGGCCGCGCTCCGCTCTCCTGGGCTGAGGACGTTTTGGGGAGCTGCTGCTGGGGACCCCAGCGCCGACGTGACTCCAGAGCTTCCCCCAGAGCTCACTCCTTCGCACACAACAACACGTATATCGCCTGCCAGAGAGTGCAGCTCTGGGACCGGGCGATTGATTGGTTGATTGAYTGGGCGCTGTCTCGGGAAGGCGAATGCCCCGATGGGGAGGTTGCCTCGCAGCGCTCGCACGTTGTGCCCCGCAGCAACGGGCCCTGCTTCGGCCCCTGCGCGGCGCCGCCGGGGCCAGAGGAGCCCGCGGAGGAGGCGCCGGGGCCGCGGAGCCGGCGCGGCCGGGGGGCTCCCTCCGCAGCACCGCGGCGCCTTGCAGCCCCCGTCACCCCCCCGAGGGCACCCGGAGCCCTCAGCCCCGCGCACAGACAGACACACAGACGCACACCCACCCCACGAAGGCAAACAGACATGAAAAGGGACATTCCAGCTCGTGTAGCTGGAGGATCGCATCGCTTTATCTCCCTGACCCGCCGACCTCTCCCTGCAGCCAGACCCTTTTTACATCTCTCGAGCTTTTAAAGCGTGGCGGGTTACACCTGAAGCCTTTTGACTCCAGGGGGAACCGACAAGCTCAGAGGGAGCCAGCTCGGGGACGTGATGCACGGGCTTGCTTGGCCGGGGTACTAGGGAAGGTTTGTTTTTTTACAGCCAGYCCCAGCTCTCCACGTGCTTTGCCCCCCCCCCCCCCAAATTATTCAGGAACAATTAAAGCGTGTAAAAACATGGTGAGGCGAAGTCCTTAGCTTGAAGTGGCCGTTTAAGGCGCTCATGTCTCTCCAGCTCCTCGTCCCAAAGTGGCAGCAGGTCCCACTGCCTGCGCCAGCTGGGCAGCGACAAAGGGTGCGGGGACGGGAGCAGCAGAGAAAAAGGCACTTGGGCAGCATCGTCTTTGCTCTGGGACTCAGGCTCCGATTGCTGCATTTGCCTCCGTGGTGTTGCGGGCTCTGAGCTCTGCCCTAGCTCCCGACTTTTCCCGATGTCGCCGTGCACCAGCGGCCGCCGTGCAAGCTCGCACCTTCGTCCTTCACTTTTCATCTCTCTCCCATTTTAAAAAAAATCTTCTCCCTCTTTGCCCATTTTATATATATATATATATGTCTAATGTGATAGTTCAGGAAAAGAAAATCTTTACCTTTAATGTTCTCAGCAAAATAAAATAAAACAAATAACTCCCCGCCCCCACGATCTCGGCCTCTAGGGCTGCCAACCGTGGCCGTAATTCCTACAGCGCTTCAGGTTATTCTTGCCGTTCTCAGCATCTCCCTCCCCTCTTCATCGCGCATCCCCCCGCCTTTCTAGCCAAGGACCCTTTGCTCCRTATCACGGAAAAAAATACAAAATAGCACAAAACAGCAACAAAAAACCTAACCCCTAGTCTCAGTCCCAAGCGATTCTGCCGAGCCCGCCGAGCTGCGCAGGAGCCGAGAGCCCGTCCGCCTCTCCCTCGCCACCGGGCTCTGCCAGCCGCCCCTGCCCACCGCTTCTCTCCTTGTCTTTCTCCTTCACTCTCTCGTTTTCTCGCCCTTTTCTCTCTCTCTTTCCCTCTATTGCTCCTTTTTTTTTTTTTTTTGTTGTTGTTATTATTTTCTTTTTCTTTCTTTCTTTTTTTTTCCTAATCAAGCCTGATTCCTTCGCAAGCTGCGAAAGCATCACCGCCAAAATAAAGTTTGCAGACAAATGAGCTTCCCGCCTTCCTCCCTCCCCCCGAAAAAGGCAGAGGTGTCTGGGGCGGCCTCGGGCAGGGGAAAATGCTGCTCAGTGAAACGCGAAGCCTTCGTGGGGGCCGCGGAGAAGCCGGTCGGCGCCGGCGGGTCCCGTCTCCATCAGGGAACACGAGGAAGGAGGCTCGGCTGTGTTCGGCTCCACTAAGTTCTGCTCGGCTCGGTTCTGCTGGCTCCGCCGACCCCAGGTGAGGACGGACTCGGCTCCCCTGCCCGGATCGGGCTCCTCCCGCATCTCCCCTGCGCTCTCCTTGCGCCGGCGACTACTTTCCTTGGGAAATTTGGCATCGCGATTACTTCTAGCAGGATATTTTCCTTTGCGTTGTGCAACTTTCCTATAGTCTTTGGCATTTTTTAACACTTTTAAAATTATTATCGTTATTATGTAAGCTCTGCCTTGTTGCCCTTGTTGTGAGTTTGGGGCCTTCCCTGTGAATTTGCGGGGCGCTCTTTCAAACCTGTCTCTTCTCCGACTCCTATTTCAACCRCTTTCCCTTTCTCCCGAGTCCGAGCTGAAAACGAAGGGAAAAAATCCCCAAACCTTAAGCACAAATGGAACAGCGGTCAGGAGGTTCCCCCGCTCCGCTTGCAGGAGCGGGCGGGGGCAGGGGATACCCCTAGGAAAAGTGAAAAGCTTGTTTTAATGGGCGGTCATTGCTAAATCTCACCTTAGGGCCAAAACGACTCGCGACCCATTGCCCTCCTTACGATGTATTTATTTGTCTCAGTGGCACCAGCCGTCAGTCATTAGGGGGCGGGGGGGGTGGCGGGTTAACCTGGGAGCCGCACCRCGAGGATGGTGGTGGTCGTGGAGCTCCTTGCCTTATTTTAAAGATTTTTAAAGGATAAATTGTTGTTGTTATTGTTATTATTATTATTTACTATTACTGTTGTTGYTGTTGTTTTAACTCGCAGGAAGCCGTCTAGGGGCGAAAGAAGAATCGGTCCCGGGAGCGCTCCGGGATGAAACGGCGGGACACGCGTGGGAGCGCCGCGAAGAGCGACTCCCCTCTCCGCGAAAACGCCTGTTGCGGTGGGACAGGAGGAAGGATTTGGGTTTCCGAAAGGTTCGCTCGCAGCAAAAGTGGCAGATCCGTTGGCAGAGACTTTGTTTAAAGATGGGGTTTTCTTTCCTCCTTTTCTGAACAAACACATTTCAGAGAGGAAAAAAAATAAATAAAGGAGAAAAATGAAAGAAAAAGCCCAACCGCAAAAATGACAGCAAAATCCACCGGCAACGGGGATAGCTCGGCACTCGCCTCGCAGCTGAGCGTGCTAGAAAGGACTCACSTGTTCGTGGGCAACCCACGTCCGCGGGGATCGCGGATAAGCGCCCTCCTGCGCGGCTTGTTTACGCGCCCGCGTTTCTGCGATCGGACACCTAACGTGCACAGCTACAGAGCGGGGCCACATATTACTTTATTATTACTTTATTTACATACAGATGTCTCTATATGTTCCGCGCGTGCAGCGCTAAATAACTTCATACATTTCAAATATTTATACAGTTCAAATATTTATGCAGTGCAAATATCTATGCGTGTGGCCGCAGAAAAAGGTTGGATATGGAGGAGCTCGGCTGCACGTTCAATTACTTGTTCACAAAACATGCCTCCTCTCGCTGCAGATCCATGTCTCGTCCCACGGCACCCACTTTCCACGCGGGCTGTGTCACTTCTGTCCCCTCACTCCAGACATATTTGCTCCAGACGGGCCCGGGAGGCTCCATCTAGTCGGGATTTTTTGCTATCTCGTATCTCGGTCCAGTTGCATATTATCTTCGCTGCCCACAGGGAAATTCAGCTGTGGTGCCTGTTGCAAACAGGCAAAATAAACCCATCGCTCGTTCCCAGCCCCTTCTGCAACCCCAGCGCCCTGGCCATGGGGCGACTCGCGTGGGCGCCCTGCCCGTGCCGACACCCCTCGCGCGGCCGCGCTCTGYCCGGTGCCAAAAGTTTATCCAGGCGAAGAGAGATAAAACATAAATTTAGTGTGTCCCTCTCTGCCCTCCCCCCGACCTCGTGCCCGGCTCCAGGTTTCTACCGCGAGGAGGAGGATGGAGCGACGGGGCGCGCGGCTGCGCGGGCGCCCGACGGCGGCTCCTGCTACAACTCTGCGCTCCCGCACCCCGAAACACCGGAATCGAGCGGGAATGGCGGAGCTGGAGGCGRGGAAGGAGCCGCTGTCCTCGCTCGGCGGCCCTGCGCGGTGCGGAGCGGGGCCGCGCGGGGCCCCYGGCCGGTGTCGTGCGGGTGCCGGGGCCGAGGCCGGTGCCTCGGTCGCTCCGCCGCTCCTGCAGTGCCACCTGGTGGGGACAGCCCCGCGGCGCGGGGCCCGCTGCTGCCCCGGGAAAGGGACCCGCACACCGCCAGGAGAGGACGGGAAGACTGGGCTGGAGGGACAGGGGTGACCCCAGGGACCTGGACCGGAGAAACGCTGGGCACGCGGGTGACAGCGCCGGGGAGCGCTTCTTGCTCAGTGCCCGAGAAGGAAAAGCCTCTTCCGGAATTCCCATGTGCCCATCTCTCTCCTATTTTAGGGGTGAGGAGGGCAGGTCACTGAGCACAAGGTTGTGTACAGGACCCCCACGAACCCCAACATGGGGTGTTCAGCAAACTCTCCGTGCAATCCCCAGTCTTCCTTTCTTTGTCCCAGCCCCTTTATGCAAGATGYGTCTGGCCTGGCAGTTTTGTAGGAAACCACCGCAAGCTGGGGAGATGGATGGGGGGAGCTGCACTCTGAGAGCAGGTAATACTCCTAAAGCTGCTGTGTTTCCTCTCCTCCGTGACACCCTCGGGCTGGTTTATAGGGCAGAAGGCCTCCAGCACCCGGCTCCTTGCATTGCCGTCGCCTTCCCTCACATATCCTCACCCACACATGCTGAGCTATGGGGCGTCTATGTTTCCTTTCACTTTCTCTCCTATTTTGGTCTCACCTCTTGCTCAATCATACTGATGTGCACATACACATGCAAAATCTGCTTGAATTTGTTGTTTCGGAGTTGTATTCCTATTATTTCTGTTTTTTTTTTTTT